AAAGATGAATAGTCTAGAAAGCAACACTTTATTTATTTTATTTTTTTAAAGAGAGAGAGAGAACTTTTTTTTAATATTTATTTTCTTTAGGTTTCGGTGGACACAACATCTTTGTTTGTATGTGGTGCTGAGGATCGAACCCAGGCCACACGCATGCCAGGCAAGCGCGCTACCGCTTGAGCCACATCCCTAGCCCAAAAGCAGCACTTTATGCTACAGTTTGTGCCCTCCAATATAGGTATGTTGAAGACCTAACAGTCAGTACCTCAGAATGTGACTTTATTGGAAACAGCGTCACTGCAGATATACTTAAGATGAGCTCATGAGATCATAGGATGCACCCCAAATTCAGTACGATTGCTGTTCTTTCCAGAAGACAGCCATATGAAGACACAGAGGGAATGTCATGTAAAGACAGAAGCAGAGACTGACTTGATGCACCTACAAACCTAAGAATGCCAACATTGCTAGCTTCACCTGGAGCGGGGAAAGAGACGTGGAACAGACCGTCCCTCAAAACAATCTTTGGCAGGAACCAACCCTGCCAACACCTTGATCTCAGATTCCTAACCTCTGGAACTATAAGACAATAAATTGATGTTGTTTTAAGCTAGTCTGTTACAACAGACCTAGGAAACTAATGCACCAAGTATCAAGAGAGTTTCAAATTTAATCTGAAAATAAATTAAAAACTGTTCATTCCTGCCAAAACTCTAAAGCAATCTTCAGTAGGTGAATGGATAAACAAACTGTGATATATCCATACAAAGGAACATAATTTAGTGATATGAAGAAATAAGGTATCAAGCCAGGAAAAGATATGGAGCACCTTAAAAACATCTATTCCATTTATACTATTCCATTTATTATACATATACAAGGAAATATTTAAAATAAAGACATAAAAGAGAATTCAATTACATTTTTAATATTTAATTCTGAATTGTAGACCAGTTAAGGGCCATATCACAGGCTTCACAAAGGAAAGGTAATACTATATAGTCTGACTTCTAACTCATCTTGCAATAACCCTCTTTCTTGGGGGTCAGGGGGGAAAGAACTAGGGATTAAACTCAGAGGCACTCAGCAACTGAGCCACATCCCCAGCTCTATTTTATATTTTATTTAGAGACAGGGTCTCAACTGAGTTGCTTAGTCACCATTGCTTAGGCTGGCTTTGAACTTGCTATCCTCCCATCTCAGCCTCCCGAGCCGCAGGGATTACAGGCGTGCAAAACACCGTGCCCAGCGCAATCACCCTCTCTTGAGGAACTTATTTTACTTAAAACCCAATGCTATACAAATTATAACATAAATAAATGGAGATACACATTTGAATTTTAAAATATTGTATTTTATGATTGTATTTTTCAGTGAGTGAATAAATAACCTAAACACAATTTCCCTAGATTCTTAATTTCACTGACAAACTTCAAAAATATGTTCTAGTTTTTAAAAACCTAATTTTAAAAATTAATTTAAATATTTTGTGTTATTAAAAGTTCTACATAAAAGACTTTTTTAAGTTTTTTAAATGGAAGTAAAGAAGTTCAACTGCCAAGTGAAGAGCAATGGAAGCGAAGAGAAAGCACTCTACAACGATGTCACTCAGGAAAAAAGGATTCAACTTTTAAAATATGGATTTGTGCTCCATTTTTCAGAAATACACTTACTATATTATACCCATATAAGACTTTTTTCCCAAAGTTAACAAGGCTAACAAGGAAGGGAAAAAAAAAGTAATAGGAATAGAATTCCAATTGAATTTAAGTAAAAGTTCAAGATATCTAGGGTAGCTCTGTTCTCCATTCAACTTGCTATTCTGCTTTAATGATACAAAGACAAAAAAGCATAGTAGCTATGCTTTTTAATAGAAAAAATTCTTAATAGAAAAAGCTTTTATATATAGCTACTATGCTTTTCCAGGGAGTGCTACTATATAGCACCAGTAGCAAAAAACCTATACAATTTGATGTAACATTGTTAATGAAAGTGGATTGCTTTTTCAAGGCCACTGTGTTTCCTGCACTTCTGTGTAAAGGCTGCTACTCAAGGAGCTTATAAAATGTTGACACTCAGGTGGGATAAACAATGAGGCTACGTAGAAAACTCAAAGTCTAGAAGTTAACCATCTTCAAAAAAATCTGAGAATGACAACTTTCAAGACTATATTACCAAACCCCTCATTCCAGAAAGCCAAACCATGGTCAGTTAAAAAGTAACACAAAGTTATCTGCAGTTAATTTTACCTAAACCAACTAAACACTAACATTTTATGATTGCTAAGATATACATCCTAAAAAGTCTTAGATTCTAATGCCATTCTCCATAAAAAGGAAATAGGATTCCTTGGAAAAAAAAGGATGATTATTCTAGAAATTGAGCAGAAAATATATATGATATGCATTTTATAGTGCTAAAAAGTGTTAAGGAAGAGGAGTTGGAGGAGGAAGAAATGATGGTGACAGTGACAGAAGAGTACATCAGAGGGACACAAGATCTCCAAATGCGGAGTTGAAACAATGGAATGACAAAGTAGGTTGGTTTTGATTGTAACAAACGTTATCACATAAAAATCTACAAGTCCATAATGAAATAAATGGTTGAATAAGTCAATAAATATTATTTCTTCTGCATGAAGAAATAAATCTTCCATGCAGAAGAATTCCAAAGATGCATGTAGAGGCATCTCAAGGAGGCAGAGCATAACTTCTTAAGGGTGGGCTGTGTGTAGCAAATTCTTTCCAAAGAGTAAATAGTACAGGGTGAAGGGGATGGGAATATTCTCCAGTAAATAAACCTAACACTACCTCAACAAAGTGATCAAGATTAACATCAAGAGTGATAAGTCATGCTGATAATCTTCATATAATGTAATGAAAATGGCACTTTACCTCTGTGGTCTTCCTCCCCCAAACACATAAGCCCAGCTTATAATGAGTAAAAAAAAAAAAAAAAAAATCACACACTCTACAAAATACCTAACCAGTAGTCTTCAATTGATAGCCATCAAAAAGAAAAAATGTCTGACCAAATGTCACAGGTAAGAGAAGCCTTAGGAGACATAACTACTAAATGTAACGTGGTAAGGATGGAATCTTACAACGAAAGACAAATCCAGTTTAAAAAAAAATCTAAAAAATTATGAACTTTAGTTAAGAACAGTGTGTCAATATGAGCTTACTATGTGTGACATATGTACCATACTAATGTAAAATGTTAATAATAGAAGAATCTAGATGTGAAATCTATGGGAACTGTAGTTATACTTTTTTCTGTAAATCTAAAACTGATCTAAAATCAAAAGTTTAATAAAAATTACAATAATTTATGTAAAGATTAACATTATGGCCCTTATTTTGTTCAGATATAAGCCAGTCACTCATTATTTGTGGTATATATGGTGACCTGAAGAAATAAAGAGGGACTACATGCAGAGAAAGTGACACTGGAGACTTTCTTCATCCATGCACTTTCAGCACCTTGCCATGTACTGTAGTTCACCTATGAATCTAGTTAAGTAGTTGAACTAAAGTAACCCTAAAAGAATATGTAAATTGTTTAAAATAACTCAGGAAACAGCAAGTAGAATATAATATTAAGAATGCAAGCAAAAATAAGTGGTAAAAGTAACATTTCTTCATTCCTAGTATAAGTCCTTTCTTAGTCACAATATGAAGTTAGAAACCATCGTTTTTTAAAAAGATCTGACCAGAAGTAGGACAAAATTTTTCAAAATTATCAAGAAACCAATAAGCCCTTGTGGGATTTTTCTTAATGTAGCAAATGAGCAGAAATTAAATATAGACATAAAATATATATTTTTTAAGTAGTATCAAGTTAAGGAGAGGCAACAATGAATTCATATTCACTATTAACAATGAACCCTTCCCTAATTCTAAGTCATGCTTCAAGATAATAGCTAATGAAGCCCTCATAATTAGCAGAACACATATCCAGATTATGAAGATAAAATAATACCTTATAATTTTTAATAATGTTTAAAATCATGCTACACCCAGTGTTTTATGAAATTTCACAAAAGGAAATAACAAATATGTAGAAGTCTTTATAGATGTTTCTAATCTGTCTTTTTATATTTAAAATTGTTGTTTCAATAAAAAAGATATTCTCGATATATGCTCAATAGCAAATGATTCCATTCATGAAAATAACTAATATCTTACTTAAAATCGCATAACACTAAAAAAGAAATCATTTGATTGGAATAAAGGTGCTCTCTACCATGTGAGGATACAAAGAAAAGATAAATCAGGAAGCATATCCTCACCAAACACTGGATCTGCCAATACTTGATCTTGGAACTTCCCAACTTCCAGAACCATAAAAATAAATGTTTTTGTTTAAAATCTTTAAAGATTCTGAAGTAAAGGTCAGGGGTTAACACCACACATGAAATTCATTTTCTCCATCAATCATAAGCAAGTGGTTATAGAAAAATAGATGAATTCATAAATGTACAAATTGCTATACTATTACATAGTATTTAAGTGACATAGCTCCATAATTAGACTGCATGGGCTGGAACACTGGTAAAATAATTTATTAGGTAAGATAACTTGAACATATTACTCAATCTCTCTATGAATTATCATATGTAATAAAATTAGTGGGGGTAATGAGATAATTCATGTACAGCCTGTGGAACAATGTTGTGCACACAATAAGTACTCAATAAAGTAGTACTTAGTTATTACTGGCCATAACTTTAAGAGTAATCATGAAAATCTTTTATACCACAAAGAAATCCATCAATTATCTTTTGGTAAAGAACTTAGAAGTATCAGCCTTAGGAATAAATTACACATTTTTTTCTTTTACAAATAACATGCTGACCTGGTCTGGGATATTTTGTAAAGATTGAGGTGTTTTAGAACACTCCACTAGTTTCTCCTGATTAATTAAAATTTTATTGTTAATGTTGGCAACAAGCAACTAACATAAAGTCCTTCATTAGAACTTTAAAATGGCATACATACCCTCAAATCAGGAGAAAAGTTCTCTGCAGAAGTTGAAATGGAATCTGATGACACAACAGAAGCTGATTTTGTATGCACTGAATTCTCTGAATGAGAAGTGGAGGCACTAAAAAAAAAAAAAAAGTATGTTTGAAAATGGGGAGCTTTAAAAGACCAATTTTAGATATTTTATTGACAATTATTCCATTCCAACAAATTCTACTTTTTTATTCATTTTTATATCCAAATGCAGATAAATTATAAACTCTATTCTCAAAGTTAATTATTCTTACCACCCAAGTTCCCTCTGGGCAGACTTTCCCAGTACTCACATTCATTAAGTGCTCCCATATGCAAAATCACTATACCAGGCACAGTGATCCAGAGATAAATATGGCAAAGTCCTCATGTTCCCAAACCTTGTGAGTATGTAGCACAAACAAGTAAATAAATGATAAAATTTGATAATGGCTCTAAACACACACAGAAACATGCTCCATATGTGGATATTAGATTTAAAAAAAAAAGCCCTAACTCTGGCCAGAAAATTCAGGGAAGACTTCACAGAAGAAAGAAAGGATATGTAAACAGTCTTAAAAGACAGAAAATTGTCAGGATTAAAAACAAGAGAATTCTGCAAACCATAAATACTGCAAAGGTATGGAAGTATCAAAGGGCACAGAACATTTGAGACATATAAATAGTTCAAAAAGGCTGGATGAACAGGAAAGCATGATAAAAAAAATGAGCCTTTGTTATCTTGTACCATCCCATCACATTATACCCTATACTTTTAACAAGCCTGCCATACATATATAATCTTTTTCCATCATTTTAAGTAATCATATTGTACAGTGTTTTCTTAAATTCTTCTAGAACTTTTGATACTTGATCACATATGACCATTTATTGTTTATTGATTCCAAGTATATACATTTCTTTTCTCAACAACTAAATTTTAAGTGCCCCAAGGGCAATTGTTAAGTCTTTCTTTATTTTTATTTTCCACTAAATCTCTTTTGGTATCTGTATATACTGTTACCATTTATTAGATCTGGTAAATTTTAAAAAATGATAATATGCAAAAAACTGAATGATTACTATCATTTCCTTTTCTCAGTAAAAGATAAAATTATTTAAGGAAAGAAAAATCAATGATGGAAAAACCTCAGACATTCTGAATTAAGGATTAAAGTTCACATTAAAAAATATTTGTTAGAGTTCCATTCCCAAAATATTAGAAGTCTTCCCCAAACAAAAAGCCAATTTTTTTTCATTATAGATTTTTTTAAAAATACTTCCTATGTTGAGGTTGTGATCGGTCATATTGAAGAATCATGATTTAGTTTTAAAATAAACTTGTCCATTATAAACTATCTATAATAATCAAATTATTTATACAATGTGAAAATCATCTTTCCCAAAAGAAAACTGTCACTTCATTTAAATGGATGAAAATGGCATGTTAGTGGGAACACTGATCAGTTTTTTTCAAACATAAAAATTCCTTTATTTATCATTTTCAAGTATGATACACTTATTTATGTCCAAGAACCTTAAATATGATATAAGTCATCAGAAATTGTACTATCTAGTTTTAGAATGTAGAAAAGAAAAACTGATAAGCTGAGAATCATTTCTTTTTTTTAGCTAATTTCTAACTAAATGTCAAATGTATTAATACGACAGATGAAATAATCAAACCTAAGGCACCAGGTTTGACAGATGTTGTTAGCTTCCTATTTCACAAAGGTTCCCTTTTTCTCCCTAATCTTGTGCACAGCTCAAGATAACAGGCTTGATTTGTCTCCCCTGGGAAAGTCATGAGACACAATTTTGGTCAATGATATTTAACAGGAAATCTGTGGAGGGTTAAGGAAACCTATAATTTCCTTAGTAAAGAAAAGGAATGGCAAGACAGTCCTTACCTTTTACCGCTTTCTCTAACATGAAATAATGTAAAGCTTGGTTATACAGTAACTACCATGTAAACATGAGCAACTTACTGGCATGCTAAGGACAAGAAGCTAAACAGCAGGATGAGCACAGGCTTATGGAATCACTGAGCAGCTACATCCATATTAACAACTCTCAGCTTTTGTTATATAAAACAAATGAAATTCAATTTTTTAAATCATTGTAAGAGCTTTTTAGTCCACACAAACACAATTGTAAGAGTTTTCTATTCCACAAAATTCTAAGTAATAAAGCAATCATCACCTCATAATGTCTATTTTGGGAAAGTTCAAAAGTATACTACTACTTTCTATGCACATGATCTTCCCAGAACAGGAGAAAATGTAAAGAGAAAACAATTTAAATCACAGGTAGTGTACTATTTACAAAAATAATATTGACAGAACATTGCAGCATGTAGCACCAAGAAACCAAATGACTTTTCAGAGTCAAAGTACAAAGTAAATAAATCTAAAAGAAATAAAATAACAAAACCATGTACTACCACTAATACTTTGCAATTTCAAAGAAATCAGTCTTTCAAGCAAAAGTGTGATAAACAGACTTTATGGGTTAATTTATCTTTTCAGACATGCATAAACACAGGTAGATATAATAATCTATCATTTATGTTTGAATAAGCACCGATGTAGAATTCAATATAACCATTCTACAAAAGATTTTAAAGTCCAGGCAAACAATGAGTAGCTGGAGGAGACTAAGGGTGGAAATACATCACAGTACTATCCTTGGAATTGTGGCAGAAACACACAGACACATACCAGCACACCTACTAAAAGTTTTCCTGTTACAAACATTAAGTATTTATTGCCTTTAGGACTACTCTGACTGAAAGTGGCCACAAGCACACTAGAATGCAGAGCTCTACCTTAAGTAGTTATTTTTTTTTTTTGTCATACATGCTTCTGATAATCACAGCTGCTGATATTAAACATCCTATATTTCCATAACTTTGTTGATTTCTCCCTGCTCATCTTGAGGTCAAGTTCTGTTTACCTTTTATGAACTGTTCCACAAACCAGTTCTGTATTTCCAAAAATTCATGTTATTCCTCATGCCATTCCAAAACAGAAGGCTCCTTTATACCAGTCTATTTATTAACATACTACCTACCCCTTATGACTCAGTTAAAAATCTAGCTTTTTCCATGAAGTCTTCTCCAAGACCTTACAGCTGGAACTAAACTCCCAATCTTTTATACTTCCATCAATTTAACTCCCAATCTTTTATACTTCCACGGATTTTGTCTATAAATACCACTTCTCAGATTTCCTAGGCCCCCAAACTTAATTACAATCAACCCAAACATTTTGTTTATCCTTGTTATCCTGAGCTTCTTTTCAACAGGTCAGACTTTCTGGTCAATTCACTGTCTGATGTGTTCATCACATTATTGTGCTTCATCCACTCACTTTCTCTGTCCCAATCTTCCTTCAACTACTAACTGTCTTCCTAATTTTTATAGTAAAATCTAATTCCACCATCTAAAATTCTACCCTCTAGTTCTCTGCCTCAACTAACATCACCCAGGAATCCACATATCTGCAGCCTTCAACAGAAGACACTCTTCTTTCCCCATATCTAATGAAGCCCAAAATTAAATCAGCAGATTCCCAGTTCAATTCGCATTCTTTAATAGTACGTTACTTTTCCATCTCCATATAAAAAAGTCTTCTTTCTCTGAGGATCATGGCTTTTCAATATACAATCTCCTGTTACTACTCACCACCTTTTAATAACTCCTCTTCATTCATTCAGGATTTTTTCATTTGGTTCACTTTCCCCGATATTTCATTCTACTTCAAAGCTGCCATGATCATAGGAAATTTACTGTCCATAAGGATAAACTATTAACAAGTCACCTCAAAATTCCTAAAGTCCCCATATCCCTCATCCACGTTTCCCATTATGATGCATCTGTACAGTCATACTCTGGACCTTGTCATTTCTGGGAACTAATGTGCCTCTCTTATCTTAAACTGGAGGCACATAATTTTAATCTCTGAACACAGACTTTATCCTTTTCCAATCTCACTTTCTTAACCTTCCCTTCACCTAATCTTCAAGCTCTTATAGACAACTAGTCCCTCAACTTCTCCATTTTCAGTGTACTTTGTGATTTACTGTTCACCATTACCCATTTGACTTTCCTTCCTATTCAACCAGGAATATAGAGTGTTAAGATTTTATACTTACTCATGGCAATCCTCAGTGTTCTTATACTCTTATCCATGGGCCACAACTGCCCTGCTAATCCCTAAATTTGTACTTATATAACCATCTGCCTTCTCACATACTAAAGTGAAGGAAATCTTCAAAATGGGACCACATAACATTCATGATTAGAAATATGAGATAGACCTAAGACAGTGTTCCACAATACTTTCATGTCCCTATTGAGTTTTTAAATATGACCATCTTTACCCCAAATCTAAGGGATGTCATTCTTAGTTCCTCATAATATATTATATTCAAATCTACAAGGGTAACTTTTTCCCAGCATCACTTCAGTGGTTCATAGGAACCTGATTCATTAGAATGAAGATGCTTATACCAGCCACCAACTGCCTCTGAATCAAATCTCATAATTCTAGCTTTCAGAGGATGAAGGATATCCACTAACGAGGCAACATACCTAATTCTAGCTGAAGCTTATACTTCACTCCATCTAGACAAACATTTCTCTTAACACTGATCCTGAGAAACAGTCTTCTTTTATTTTCTATTTGAATATTTTTTTACTCTCCAAATGTTCTTCCTTTCTGACCAACTGAAGGGTTTGCTACATAAAACCTTTCTTGAAAGTTCATTTTCCCATAGGAAACCAGTCCTAAGTTATTGTTAATGGTTTCTTACATAGAATCTAGTGAATCTCTATAAGGAGGTGACCCAAGATGGTGGAGTAGAGGCACCCAGCATTTACCTCTTCTCCATAAGACAGAATCAAAACAAGTGGAGAGCAGCTATTTATCAAGATTGGTGGCTGAGGGAGAATGCTAAAGTTTGAGAGTGGCCAGGCGGACTTGGAAAAACCCAGAGACTTTGGATAACGAAACAGACACCTGCACCAATCACCTAGCAGCACAACAGAGAGCAAGGGTAGACATGAACACGGCAGAGTCCAAGTAAGAACCACTATTACAGGATTCA